TTTTTTTTTTTAAGTCTCTTTTATACAAGTCATTTTTAAAGGTCCTCTTCCTTTTCTATTCAGATGAAAAATTCAATTACAGAATTTTAAGAAACTTAGTATTTAAATTTTTATTATACATATTTATTGTGCAATAAACACATAATACTTAAATTTTACATTGTAAAGGATATAGACAGAACCCCATCATTAAAATTAAAAAGGGTTCTGTATTACAGCTGTGCTGGCCGTACTATTTTTTGAAGGGGCTTAAGCCGTCAGCAGGGGGTGCAAGTCCCTTCTCCAAGGACGAAAGCCTCGAGTGTCTGAGAAAATCTGCACCCTGGCCCCTCATTCCCTTATTCAGAGCATGAGTACTTCTGGGGGCTGGGAAGTTACTGGGGCTCTGACAGCAGGGGAAAAGAGCACGAACACTTCTGCCCTGTGCGGTTTGTACTCCAGCTCCAGGGAAACAGACAGCTAAACAAGTCAGCAGAAAGTGTGCTGGGCTCTGTGGAGGAAACAGTCGGGCCTGGCCAGGTCAGAAGTGCTGGTGCGGGTGCGGGCAGAGAGGCTATTCAGACAGCAGTCAGCAAAGACCTCTTGGATGAGACTCACGTAAGCCAGAGTGTGGTGGTGCACACCTGTAGTCCCAGCACTCGGGAGGCTGAGGCAGGAGGATCGCCATGAGTGCTAGCCCAGCCTGAACCACATAGCGAGACCCTCTTTCAAAACACAAAACTGACCAAAAACCCAAACAAAAAAGAGACTCATTTGATTGGAGAGAGGTCTGTGGAGAATGGAGAAGCACTTATGTAAGCATTTGTGAGGAGACTATTTCAAGCTAAAAAACAATGCAAAGGTCAAAGTGAGGAACACGCCCAGTGTGTTCAGACCAGGACCCAGGAGGCCAGCTCTGCTGGAGGGCTATGCAGTGAGAGGGAAGTGGGAGGCGAGGTCAGGGAGGCAGAGGGGGATGACCTACCATGCAGGCGCTCAGAGGCCGGGTAGAGACTTCGGGTTTTCTCTAAGAAGGAAGTTAGGAGAACGTTTTGATCTAGGGAGAGATGGTCTGATGTCCATTTTAAGAACACCATGCTGAGGGGCTGGGGATTTAGCTCAGCGGCAAAAGCGCCTGCCTGGCAAGCGCAAGGTCGTGAGTTCAGTTCCCGGTACCAGAGAAAAACCAAAAACCCAAAAAAACAAAAAAACAACAACAAAAAAAGAACACCATGCTGGCCAGGTGTGGTGGTGCACACCTGTAACCCTAGCTACTCATGAGTCTGAAGCAAGAGGATTGAATTCAAGGCCAGGCTGAGGAACTTACTAAGACCCTGTCTCAAAAACAGGCCTGGGGGTGCAGTGCTGGTGCTTGCCTGGTAAGCAGGAGGCCCTGGATTGACCCCCAACACCGCAGTAAATCCACAATGACAAGAGCGCTCTTCTGCTGCTCTGTTGAGAACAGACTGGGGTGGAAGGCTGAGGGGAGAAGGCCAGGGCAGAATCGTGCTTATTCCTGTTTGCGTCTCTGTCTTCTCCTAAAAGCTTGTTTACAGATCACCGAACTGGCTTTCCTGGTTGAAGCAGGGTCCAGAGGTCACTGCTGGATGTGACCGCAATGGCAGACATAGCATTGTGTTGTGTTCGTGAGAATCAAGAGCATCTGTGGGGTGTGATTCCCTCCTCCTCACACAGGCTCTCTAAGTCTGGGTCTGGGTCTCCCTTAGACTCTGGAGGCCGCAGCCCTGTGTCAGCACCCCACGGGCTGGTGGCGGAGCGCCTCGCCCATGAGCTCTCCACCGCAGCAGGTTCCTTGCGCGCCTGAAGGGCGGACTGGGACGGGCTCCTCCCAGTGCCCTGCATGTCCACGGGGTTTTCACAAACTTTAGAGTTCTGATTGGTGTGGCAGGGTCAGATACGTGGTTTTTCTTAAGTCCAGTTAATCTATGAATTTAGTGGTTTGATTGAGACTTACTTTATAGTTTAAGGAATCCTTGTTTTTGCAAAAAATAGGAATGGCTGCCTAGTTCTTTTTTTGTTTTGTTTTTTTTTGTTTTGTTTTTCTCCGGTACCGGGAACCGAACTCACGACCTTGCGCTTGCCAGGCAGGCGCTTTTGCCGCTGAGCTAAATCCCCAGCCCCATGGCTGCCTAGTTCTTTCTCTGGTTTTTAGGGAAAAGTTATGAGTTCTGCTAAAATTGTATCTAATGGAAATAGAGCAGTTTTTTTGGGGGGGGCGGGGTACCAGGAATTGAACTCAAGACCTTGCGCTTGCCAGGCAGGCACTTGTGCCCTGAGCTGTGTGCCTGGCCCCAGAAGTAGAGTAGTTCTGTAAGCCTTGTAGAACACAGCTGAAGTGTGCACATCTGTTATATTACCTCAGGGAATGCAGACCTTTTTCCTCTTTCGTTGTAGGTAGAGGAGATCTTCAAGAAGTCACCTTTCCTGGTTCCTGATGACAGCGTCAGCATCATGGATGGCTCCAATGAAGGTGGGAGGGCTGAGGAGGGACTGGTCTAGGGGAGAAATAGCATAGAATAGGTGAAGGATCGCCAGCAGAAGGGTGCCCATGAGAATAGAGTGAAAGGTCTGATTACAGAGCTGGAATCGGGATGGGGTGCTGGAGAAAAAGGAACTAAAGAAGCAAAGGGGGAAGAGGATTGGGATAGCAGGAAATGCAGCCACCTGGGAGATTTAAAAGAGCAAAGGCTAAACTAGGAAGAAAATGCTCTAGAGTAGTGTAACCCTTGTCTTTCTTTCTTTTAGGCATATTAGCTTGGATTACTGTGAATTTTCTAACAGGTAATTATGTTCTTAAGTTTGTGTTAAGACCTTGCGTGGTTGGCTGTGGTGGCATACACTGTTACCTTAGCACTCCTGAGGCAGGAGGGTTGCACATTGGAGACCATCCGAGACTACATAGTGAGACCCTGTCTGTCTCAAAGTGGGAAAGGAAAAAGTGGACCTCATCTGGCATGACTGGAAGAGTAAAAATCCTTCCCTTTTCCTGTACTGTACTTTTGTACTTCATTTTAAAGGAGAGTGAGAAGCGGGGCATGGTGGGACACAGCTGTAAGCCTCGCACTTGGGAGTTCTGGCCCCCTGCGCTGCATAGGAAGCCCATGTCTCTCTCTCTCTCTCTCTCTCTCTCTCTCTCTCTCTCTCTCTCTCTCTCTCACACACACACACACACACACACACACACACACACATGCACACGCGCGCGCGCGCACACACACACACACACACACGACTAGAGTGTGGTGTTGCCAGCCTGGAATTGCGGTACTTGGGAGCTGAGATAGGAGAAGTACAAGTTCAAGGCGCAAGCCCGTGATTCCAGCGCTCGCAGGAGGATTACCTCACGTGCAGGGCAGTTCGGGCTACATGGTGATTCAAGGCCAGCCTGAACTAGTTAGTGAGACCCTATCTCACACAGTCAGGGCCAGCCTTGGCAATTTAGTGAGACCCTATCTTTAATAGGGGTCTGGGGATATAGCTCAGAGGTAGAGTACTTCAGGGTTCAACCCCCAGTACTGAAAAAAAAAAGTAGAAAAACAAGAAGTTAACAATTACACCATCTTCAAGGCCTCGCCTGCTCTCAGCGTCCTCCTGACTTGACACTTCCCTGCTGCGTTTGAGGCCAGGGACCAGTACGTATTTCGTATCTGTGGAATAGCTTCAGCGAACTAGAGCAGGAAAGCATTGCAGGCCAGTGGGTGCTGGGCTCTGCAGATGTGGGGGACATGCTGAGCTCTCTGTTGACAGGTCAGCTGCATAGCCATGGGCAGAAGACTATGGGGACCCTGGACCTGGGAGGGGCTTCCACCCAAATCACATTCCTGCCCCAGTTTGAGGTGAGTCATTCACACAAAGCGCTGGTGAGCAGCCCGCTTGGCAGGAGTATCATGGCACTGAGAAGGTGCTGCCCTCCTTTCTGAGGGCAGCTCTTCCACAAGCAGCTGAGTCATTGTGACTGGCAAGCTTCCCCTTGCCCGTGCCCTGTTCAGAGTCCTTTCGATTTCCCAAGTCGTGTGAGGTTGGCAGCATAAGCTGTCTCCAGCTCTGGTGTTTTGGGGGATGGGTGCGGGGGTGGCGGTGGTAAGAGCTTCAGATAATTACATATCCTGAATAGTCTTTTTGCTGTTTCTGATTTGCAGAAAACTCTGGAACAAACCCCTAGGGGCTACCTCACTTCCTTTGAGATGTTTAACAGCACCTATCAGCTGTACACACACAGGTGAGGAAGGGGTCAGGGAGGACGACTGCACACTGGATGTTTCTGCTAACTTGCCATGGCATTTCAAACCTGTTACTGCGTTTGAGATCTCTGCCAGTCAGTGGATCCGGGGCCTAAGAGGCTTTTTTATTCCTGACCTCAGAAACATGTGTCGGAGAGCCAAACATTTTCTTTAGAGGGAGGAACACGTGGAGAAGACTCAGCCAAAGCGCCACAATCTCTGCCCGTCATTGGAACCCAGTTGCGATAATGCGGGCTTCCCTGAGGGTGGTTGGGGGCAGCGAGGGAGCTAGGAAGGGCCCCTGTTGCTGGCCTCTGAGGCGGCCCTGTGCGCAGCTCTGAGTGGGCCGCCTTGAGTCAAGGTGCGCATACGAGGTAAGCACATCTCAGAGACAGCAAGTTTTCATCTCTCCCAAGGGAGACAGAGAAGCCACGTTACTTTTGAAAGATGTAGCTTAGGAGAACTTGAAAACGAGCAAGAGACTGGTCAACCCTGTATTTTACAGTTACTTGGGACTTGGATTGAAAGCTGCAAGACTAGCAACCCTGGGAGCCCTGGAGACGGAAGGTTTGCCTGGGTACCTCTGCCGGGTGGGGGGTGGCGAGGGTGACCCTGGTCCTCAGCTTGTCGCCTCCTTCCTTGGCCATGATTCTGTAGAGGACAGATTGATATTAGGAAGCCTGGGTTGTATAATGGACATAATAATTGCAAATTCTTCGTCTGTCTTAGGAGGTTGGGTGCTTTGCTGTGCATTTATTATTAGCCATTTTTAGAGTGAAGTCTACTTAGGTAGAGGTAACAGTCTATAGCTAGGAGCCTGAAGTTTCTGTAGAAAGTCAAGACTCGAGAGTATTTGGCAGGAGCTTGCACAAACCGTTAGCCTTGTGTGGGAGGTGCTGGAAACAGTCTGTTCGATTTGAAAGGTAGAATAACTGAGCAGCTCTACTCGTCTCTTCATAGCTGGGGTCAGGCAGAGCTGGGTGCGATCCCAGGTTTGTGACTGGGTCAAGTTAGTGGGCCTTTCTGTGCCCTGTTCCTCACCTTAGCTGTGGCTTCGCATTTAACGCCCTTCGTGTGATGCCTGGCTCACAGTACGCCATTAATGGGATGGAGACTGAACAGTACGTCACAGTTTTCCAAACACCTTCAAGTGTATTTCGTGCAAGCCTCTTGGCTACTGCTGAAGGAAGACAGCACAGCATTCAACCCCGCTGTGACCGGGAGGAAACGTAATTGCGGGTTTTGGTTTCATGGAGATGTAATGAGAACTGCGGACCCCTCTACCAAAGTCCACGCGCACAAAACGTGCCTGTAGCTCCAGAGGGCACCGGCTGCACGGACCTATGAACCCTGAGGGAAGAATTCCTGTCACAGAGAAAGAAAGAAAGAGAGAACACACATTGCTGTGACAGGATGCAGTTAAGGAACTGATTTCCTAAGACTTGAAGGCTTCGCCCTCGCAGTGATTCCTTTCAGCCTTGCCTCTCTGTCCGTGTGTCTGTCTGTCTCTGTCTCTTGTCTCACCTGCCCCTTTCCACTGTGGTTTCTTTTAGGGATTGAGGGACACACTTTCCGAAGTGCCTGTCTACCAAGATGGCTGGAAGCAGAGTGGATCTTTGGGGGTGTGAAATACCAGTACGGTGGCAACCAAGAGGGTGAGTGATGCCTCCCCTGACCTCTACAGTAGACGTTCTGCGAAGGCCCACGGGAAGTGTTCTCCTGTGCTCAGAGAAGCTTATCATGTTGCAGGCCCTCGTTCCAAAGAGCTTCACACGCCTCCAGGGACTCGTGATGGGACAGAAACAGGGCAGCTGTCCCTCTGCGGCCTGTTTTCTGTTTCCCTGGGCGAGTATCACAGGCCCGTTAGAAACCTGTTAGTAGCCTGAGTCTCACGTAGCAGCAGGAAACCGTTTCAGGTTCAGTTAATGTTTAGCTATTTAAATCGTAGTAAAAACTTAAAATTGAGGTGACAGGGAGAAAGATTCATCTCAGCTATCATGAAAGGTACACCTTAAAGTCATGGAAGAACTTGTTTTCCCAGTGAAGGAGCAGCGAGCCCTCTGACTACAAGCTCGCAGAGACACAGGACGTAACAGTGGGCGTAACGTGGACGTAACTCGAGGCCATTTGGTGAAGTGGCTTAGAAAGGGGAGCCGCCCTGAAGCAGTAGCAGTGGGGTTGCAGAAGTTTACTCACCCTGTTTCCAGGGCTTTTATTCTGAGCGTCAGCCTCCTCCTCGGTCCTCCTGCTGCCCGCTCCCTGGCTCCAGCAGCTTCCTCAGAGAGGGGCCCTCTCCCGTCACTGTTCTCAGCGTGCGCTTTTGCCCTGGCAGGGGAGGTGGGCTTCGAACCCTGCTATGCTGAAGTGCTGCGGGTGGTACAAGGGAAACTTCACCAGCCAGAGGAGGTCCAGGGAGGCTCCTTCTACGCCTTCTCCTACTATTATGACCGAGCTGTGGAGACAGACATGATCGGTGAGTTTGCCTGGTGGCAGCCGGGGCAGAGTTGAGGGCTGCGGGACGCCGGCGAGGGGCTCGGGAAAGGCTCTGGGGGCTCGCCTCATGCTGCTTTGTGCCACTACCCACGCCAGGACAAGTGCACTCGGTGTCTCGGGAGTAGGTGACCTAAACAAGTGTATGTGAAGCCTTTTCATTTTATTTTATTTTATTTTTATTTTTTTATTTTTTTGGTTTTTCTCCGGTATCAGGAACTGAACTCACGACCTTGTGCTTGCTAGGCAGGTGCTTTGCCGCTGAGCTAAATCCCCAGCCCTCATTTTATTTTATACATTTATTGAGGTATAAATGACACACAGTAAATGCATGTGTTTATAGTGTATTTTTCCAAGTTTTGTCACCTACCTTTTCACATACCTGTGAAACCATCACCACATTCAAGTTAATGAACAACTGATCTATCGCTCTAGGCAGTTTCCTCCTGCTTTTCAGGATTGCTTTTCTCCTTATCACCAAAATTACGTTTTTGTTTAGCTGGGAGAGTACATGTACACGCCCTACCATTGCCTGAGAAATGTGAATTAATGTATTTATTGTGTTTTTTATGAGCCTGCTTGCCTATGGCAGTTAAATATTATGTAACATAAAATAGATAACACTCATTAATTGTAAATATAAAATAGTACAGATTTGTATGGATACATGTTTGTGTATTCATTTTTAATGTTGGAAATTTTATTTCCAGTTTTTTATTATTATAAATATCACTAGCATAAGTTTCCTTGCTTCCTTGAAGGCTCTTTGACACCAGTTACTATTCTGCTTCATTTCAGATTATGAAAAGGGAGGCGTTTTAAAAGTTGAAGATTTTGAAAGAAAAGCCAGGGAAGGTGAGTGTCAGGAGCCCTTGGAAGGCAGGCTGCGAGGGCGCCTGCCCGCTCAGTGCCCTGATGTGGCCGCGCAGAGACTGTCCAGTCGGTGCCAGAAGTGACAGCAGCAGGTGGCACAGATAGGACAAGAATATCGGGCTCCAGAGGCTTTGGGGAAATGGTGAAAATTCTTTCTACATTTCTTTTCTGAGACAGGGTTTCTCTAGGCAGTTTAGGCTGGCCTTGAACTCACTATGTAGCCCTCGAACTGAGGCAGTTCTCTTGCCTGAGCCCCTGTGTGCTAGGATTACAGGGGTGTGCCACCATGCCCGGCTTTTTATTTTTTAATTGAAATATCATCAGTGTTAATGAAACACCAAGGACCAAGTACCTGGGACATAGCTTCAGGCACTTTCTTGAGAGGGTCACTCCAAATAAGATACAAAAGATCTTAATCCTGTGGCCTCACAGGTGGGATAAATGGTATTACCCTGTCTTCTGGGCCTCTGCATTAACGATAGACACAGCTCAGAACTAAGCCGCCACAACTGGTTGTAGGAATTTGGCAAATAGGCGTCTGGGCATGTAGCGTGGTGGTAGAGTACGTGCCTAGTATGTGCAAGGCCCTCGGTTTGATTTTCAGCATCCCCACCCACCCAACAGAAAAGAAATTTCGTAAATAAACTAGGACCCACGTGAATGAGTAGTTAGGGTGCCACACCTGGTTTGTTAAGAAGCTGTGGTCTTGCAGAGGCAATCGGTGTGCAGCCTGATCTCCGGTAAGCCCGGGCACTGACCGGACGCAGGCTCCCGTCTTACCTGCGTCTCTCAGCTCCTGGCACACCTGGCCTCAGCCGTGCCCTGCCTGTCACTTTCAGTGTGTGGTAACTTGGAGAACTTCACCTCGGGCAGCCCTTTCCTGTGCATGGATCTCAGCTACATTACAGCCCTGTTGAAAGATGGCTTCGGCTTTGCAGACAGCACCATCTTACAGGTAAGGGGCAGGTCCCTGCAGTGCCCTAACAGTCCCCTTTTGTTGGTATTTCAAAGAACTTGCTTAGTGATCAGAACAGCTGTAGGTGGGGGCATTGTGTTCAGGCAAGGCGCAAGACTGTGGCTCTTGGGTGGAAGTAAACCAGTTCCCCTTCGGAACCCCTCCTTCCCCCGCCTCCCCTTGTATGGACTCCTGTTTCCCCAACATGGCACGAGTTTATGTTGCCCCGTAGCTTGTGTTGTACATTTCATAGCCATTCCCACTAAGGCTTCTGGACAAACTAACGTCTGTCCGGAATATCGGCACGTACAGTACTTAATGCAGAAGAGTTACCTGGCTGAGGAGTCTGTGGTCTTGGGGGAAGAGTGTGGGTTCCGTTGCCCCGAGGGCTGCATTCAAGTTCCGATTCCCCAAACGGACTAACTCTGTGACCTTACGTGATTTTCTTCCCCTCTATAATTTTAAAGTTCTTCACTCAAACTCCAAGGATCATTACAATACACTTTCATAGAGCTGTGAAAAAAGTTGAGGCAATGCATCTAAAGTGCAATGCCTGGCATGTAGTAAGTTGTTATCAGTATTGTTATTACTGGTAGGGCTGTTATTACTACTAGTGGAGGCATTTCATACTAGTTGAGATCAATTTGTGGATAAAAAGGATCATCTTAGCCAGGCATGATGATTTAAACTGAGGCAGGAGGATCACAAGCTCAAGCCCAGCTTGGTAAATTAGTGACTTAACAAGACTCTGTCTCAAAATTTTAAAAGAATTTTTTTTTCAAAGGGCTGGGGAAAAAAAAAAAAAAAAAAAGGGCTGGGGAATGTGAGTCAATGTGAAGGTCCTGGGTTCAATTCCCCGTGCTTAAAAAAAAGACAGTGAGGGAAAGGCCCTTCTCCGCTGCTTTGGGCACAGCGGCCGGACTCAGTTCCATCAGGTCAGCACTTAAAAACCCAGTAGTTTTCAAACTTCTGTTTTGAAAACCATCTTTATGCAACACAAGCTTGCACAGGTGTCAGTTCTGTGAACTGAGACAGCAGAGCTCTTCTGCGGAACCAGAAGTTAGGGGCCTGGAGCTCCCTTGCCATTCAGATTCCCTTCCTCCTCCAGATCACTTCCAAGGGTGCCCTGGAATGCAGAAGAAAACAGTTCGCTAGACTGCTGTGCCCCTTGTTCTGTATTCAGGACGTCAGGTCGCTGAGCTGATGGTCCAGAATGCCTTAGATGCCCCGGTTAATTTATCAGCGCTTGAAGGGCTGTTGCTCACATGGTACGAATGGAGAAGCTTAGTATGTTTTCCTATCCCTAAATGTATTCCTAACTCCTGATGATGTTCCTTCTCCCGCATCCATAACACTGCATTTTAAATTGCCTGATCAGAAAGAGGTGTTCAAAAAATCAAGCAGGGGATGCTGTGCTGTGTCAGGGTTAAGAGTTCAGAGCCTGTCTAGAGTCCCTCTAGAAGGCCCGAGGAGACCACTTCCCCGGCAGAAGCCCGCGGAAGGGCAGCGGTGGGTGCAGGGCAGTCGGCCGTGGCTGGAGGGACACCGTCAGTGGGGGGCGCGGGAAGCCGCCTGAGACCGGCTTTCTCAGTTTTGCCTTGGTTTGGCCACACACGTGGTCTTTGAAGATCTTACCCGCCCAAATGCCATGCTTACTGGAATTGAAGGTTGGATAAAAACGTGAAAACGTTTCTTTTTTCTCCTCCACAGCTCACAAAGAAAGTGAACAACATAGAGACGGGCTGGGCCTTGGGGGCCACCTTCCATCTCTTGCAGTCTCTGGGCGTCTCCCACTGAGCCAGGCCCTCCTCCAGGCCCCCTGCGCCGCAGCCTCTCACGGAGGAACAGGAGAGCCGCTGCTGAGCTCCTCGGGTGCGGAAGCCCCGCAGCTGGCTGTGCGGCGAAGGGACTTCGTGGGCGGTCTTGCCCTTGAACCTAGAGCTCTGGGTTTAGTTTTACTCATCAGATGTGAAGCACCTCCTGACCACTTGGGGTGCACAGCTGGCGCTAGAGCCTCGGTGAGCCACAGACAGCTCAGGAACTGAGCCTTGGAGTGGCAGCTCAGGGACAGGTCCCTGGGAACCAACAAAAAGTCTCATCTCAACCCTTGGGAGTGCCTCATTCCTCAGAAATTGTAATTGTAATATACTAAATTAAACCGTTGTATTTGTGACCTATGAATACCAGTGTCTTTCCTCGCCCTGTGTACCGTCCTGTCCTCACCCTTACATGCACCCTTTCCTGAGAGAAAAAAATGCCTAGTTTTACTTTCTACGTGTCATTGAAAAAAAAAAAAAAAGGAAAAAAGAAAGGTGCCATATTAGATGGCAAGCTTAGGAACAGGGGCTCTGCGCAGGTGCGCTGGTGCCGGCCTTGCCTGGCATCCCAACTTCCGGCACTGTCGGGCTGGGGCTCCACAAGAATTGCAAGTTTGAGCCTCGCCTGGGCAACTTAGCAAGACCCTGTCTCAAAATACAAAATGGAGGGGGCTGGGGCTGGAGCTCGATGGAAAGGCCCTGGTTCAGTCTTCAGCACCTAGACGGATGGATGGATGGATGGATAGATGATAGATAGATAGATAGATAGATAGATAGATAGATAGATAGATAGATGATAGATAGGTGATAGATAGATGATAGATAGATAGATAGGTAGATAGATAGATGATAGATAAAGACAGACAGGAGCTGGGTACCCTGGCATGCATCTGTGAGCCCAGCTACCTGGGAGCTGAGACAGGAGGATCACAAGTTCAAACCCAGCCAGGGCAGTTTAGCAAGACCTTGTCTCAAAAAATGAAAAGGACTGGCGCCATAGCTCATTGGTAAAGTGCTTGCCTAGTATTCAGGAAGCCCTGGGCTCACTCTCCAATACTATTAAAAAAAGATGCCATTCTGTCTGTAGGAACATATTCTGGCAGGATGTGGCCACTTCTCATTGCTTACCTTTAGCTTTTTCTCGGTCGGTGGTGGGATTAAGGAACATTTCCACCCTTACAGGTATGTGTATTCAGTGCCAGCGCCACCTCCCAGGCTAGTATGTCTATAGTGTTATCTGTGATCCTAAGTGTCTTTGTATTTCTAAGAAGTACAACTATACACTAGCTCAGTGGTAAACCTTTTAGAGCTGCGGTGAGAACACACGGCCCGCTGCAGCGTGCATGCCATAGGTTCCCACCACTGCCCTAGCTTGTGGTCTGTGGCTAGAGGTTAGTTGAGAAGCTACATAGTTCAGTCCCAGACTTTCAGTTCACCCGTGTGTGTGTGTGTGTGTGCGCACTGAACCCAGGCCTCACACATGCTAAGCTCACTTTGCCACTGAGCTACTTCCTTAGTCCTAGTTGCCCTTTTATTTATTTATTTTTTGCAGTGCTAGGGCTTGAATCCAGGACCTCACAAACTCATTCCTTCTTTTTAGAAATGGAATGCCTAGACCTCTTGATTTTGTGAATTATTTCCCCCAAAGTCATTAACTTAAAAATTTTTCATTATCTTGAACTTTCCCATCTGACGATCATCTGCTTCTTGGCTACCTACTGTATTGCTCTTGGACTTGAAAGATCTGTAGTTCAGTTCCTTTGTCATTGCTCTTTCCCTCCTCCTCTTCTCATCCAAGAGTTTGCATCTGCCTAAACCTGTAGCTTTCACAGTCACCTCCCTTTCCTTCTATTTGTACAAAGGATGTGAAAACACCAGTCCCTGGGGAGCTTTGATTTTTTTAAGTTACTCCCTGGAGTCAATAAGTATTTGACATCTGTTGTAAGAAACTAGTTGTATTGGCTGGCAGGGGAGTGTGACAGATTCAGGGTGGCCTCAAACTGGCTGTGTAACCCATTGTATCCTCAAACTCACAAGGATCATCCTGACCCTCCTGCCTCTGCCTCCCAAAGTGCTGGGATTACAGGCATGTACCACCACACCTAGCTGAACTAGGAAATTTCTATGTCACACCCTACCCCCAGCTTTATTTTTAATTTTTTAATTTTTATTTTTCTGTCTCCCAAGAGGCTGATAAGTAGAAGCTGGATTTGTGGAGTGCATGTGTTGTTCCCCATACTCCTTTGGTCACCCCAGTAGCTTCCGAACTCCTGGGGAGATGCAGTCTCACTTCAGAAGTTTCTCTGCAGGTATCGTTAATCTGGATCAGAATATCTGGAGAATTAGCCATTTGTTTTAAGTGCAATTCAGAGTGAGAATTTTTATCTTAGAAAAAGATTTGTTAATATACCTTCGGGTCTCTTAGGGGTCTTGCCTATTCTATTACTGGTTAGTTTCATCTCTGTCTTTTTTGAGACAGGGTCTTGCCATGCAGTTCAGCTGCCCTTGAGCTTACTTTGTAGCCCAGGCTGGTCTTGAACTTGCAACGATTCTCTTGCCTCAGCCTCCCGAGTGCTGGGATTACAGGCGTGCACCCCCACGCCTGGCAGCATATTCTATTACTGGTTGGTTTCATCTCCGAATAGGTTTGTGCGTGTCAAACACGTAGGCACCAGCCTGCTCATGGTGGGTGGCGTGTGTTTATTGCTGTGGTCGCCACCAAGAAGTGAAGCCTGGAGGTCTTTGCAGAGTGTGCCTTAAAGTTCTGTCGTTGTCTTTATACTTTTGGAATGGAGATTCTCTGCCTGGGCAACCTTTCCGTGTTTTATGTAGTGACCCTGTGCCTACGGTCTCGGCAGTAGTCACCCAGCTTTCTACGGAAGCTGTCATCTTCGTCTGCGCACATTTTCCTGATTCCAGGACATATTTTTTACATTTGCCTGAAAAGCTGCCCTGTAGCATCAAACTTCTCATTCCTTCAAAATTCATCCCCAAGCATAGCTTAGCTTGGTTCAAAAGCAGACTATTTTTTCTTCTTTCATCTTGAAAGCAGACTTCTGGGCAAGATGTTCTTTACAGCGTGCAGCTCCGACACGCTGAGTCCTCCAGGGAGCCGCGCTGCGCCCCCTGCCGGCCGCGGCCGCCACCACACGCGGACGGACTCCGGCTCAGCGGCGGCCCTGCGCATTCCCGAGGCCTTCAGACGTGTGCAAGGTTACTTATTTTATTACTGAACAGAGACTGGTGTCCCGGAGAGGAGCCATAAGTAGAGCTGAAGTTCGGTGCTGAGATGACGATGTAATAACTAGGATTAATAAGATGTGATTGTTTTTTGCAAAAAGTGCAGCATACCAATAACAAGGTTAAAGTACTTTGTGTTTAATATTAATTTTAAAACAGCAATTCTAATAGAAATACAGTATTGCTAATTCTTACCTCTATCAAAAAAACAGGTTTGTGACCCGCGCGAGAATAAATTCTCTCTAGAAAGGCGTGCTAACAAGCGAAGGGGTGGGGCGGCCCCTCGACACTGTTGCTGTAGTGATAAAGAGCTCCTTTCGGGAACGGGAACGGGAACGGTCTCCCGTGCGGTCGTTTTCCTCTCAGCAAATCACCAGTCACTTGGGTTCCGTGCGCACAGAGAGCAGGAGAGGGACGGGGATTCCGATGTGAAGCCAATTTATTAAACTACATCTTGGAAGTGTGGGCGGGGTCACGAGGCAGGAAGCTCTTTCTGCATCAGCACCGTCTCCCGGAGACAGCGCTCACTTGCTGGCGAAGGCCACGATTTGCTCCTGCAGGAGAAGGGCAGAGTGAGCGGCGCCCACACACCAAGGCCGGGAGAGGTGAGGCAGACGCTCTGGGGGTGGGAATGCAGTCCAGTGGTCGTTTGCTGCGCACGCACATGGCCCTGGGTCCAAGTCCTAGCACCTTCCTCCCCCAAAATGAAAGAAAAAGTAGCAAAGTGCTCTTTTAACCTTTTCGGGCCACCACGCCCTGCAATTGTAGTGCTATGACTAAATATCCAGAGTGATCGAACAGCCATAGCGATACTCTTCCGGGGAGTCCGTTTTATTTCAGCAAAAGAGCTCTTTTAAGCGCAAGTATGTCAGAAGCCGGCCAAGCAGCGCGGGTTTGGTCCTGCGCACCGGCCTCCGTCCCCGCTGCACACGCAGCGAGCGCTCAGACACGGCCAGACGGCGGCCCTGCAAGGACTCGCGCGCCCACGGCAGGCAAAGTGCCAGTCCGCCCGTTCTCAGCGAGCAGCCAGCGTGCAAACCCCGGCGGCCTCGTACCTTGAGCGGGGACACGGCGCTGGTGACCTGCAGGCCCCACGTCCTGAGCAGCACGAGCGGGGCGGCGCCGGTGGAGTAGAGCCTCTTCAGCAAGTCCGTGGCGGCCAGGAGGGCCGTGTTGTGGCGCTGTCTGTCCGTCTCGTAACAGGTGAGGTGGCTCAGGGAGCCTGGAGGGCAGCGGAGGTGGAAGCCCGCAGCCGGTGAGAAGGGCCGCCGCGCCTCGCAGCCCCGAGGACGCACGCCTGGTGCCCACCCGCCCCGCTGCTGAGGGCCCCCGGGCTCTGACTGCACCTCTGACCTCCGGGGGCCTCGTCCTTACCCAAGTCTTTTCCATCGAAGGCTGCAGCGCTGAGATGACGCAGCAAGCTGGAGACGTCCCCAAAGCCCATGTTGACACCCTGTCCCGCGAGCGGATGCACCCTGTGCGCCGCATCCCTGGAAGGAAGGGCGTGCAGCTGCGGCCCCGGGCGGCGGCGCAGGGCGGGGGCCGCGCTTGCGGTCTTACCCAACGAGCGCCAGGCGAGGCCGCACGTACTCCGCCGCGTGGCCCAGCCCCAGCGGGAACAGCACTCTGCTCCTGGCATCCACCCTGGCCACGCTCGGGGGCAGCTGGCGGGCGGGGGCCCTGGTGGGCTTCAGAAGGGCAAGAGCGTACTGCAGCAAGCCGCTGGCCGAGCCGATGAAGTCGCTGTGGTTCGCGTCGCTCCACTGAGCACCAGCCCCGAGACGGCGGGAGGAATGGCATCCGTGACCAGCGGGAACTCACCAAGGCAAGTCCTAGTCCCTGCCTTGTAACCGAGGCTAAGGTAGGGCCACCTCCCAAGCCCAAGCTGATCTCGGCCGTGAGCGACAAACCCCTCAAGCCGCGCAAAACGAATTCCCGGCACTCCCCGCAGGCCACACAGCTCCTGGGCTGGCCTCCGCCCCCGAGCGCCCACCGCCAGTAAGGACGCTGTGCGGCGTGGCCCGCCTATGCCGTCTCCCTGTGTGCAGGGCTCCTCCCGGATCCGAATGTCCGCCACCGCTCCACGGCGTAACACCTCGGGACCCCGAGCCCTCCGCTGTGCTCCCCTCCTCTCGCTGCTCCCGGTCATTTACAGCCTTCCTCCACACCTGCCTACACGCTTCCTGCGGGCAGCGACTGTCGCGTCCGTCTCTCTCTCTAGAGCCTGCTACGCAGAAGGCCTTGTGATTACCGTCTTAGGCCTGTGCCACAGCCCCGCACTCAATGACCCGAGCGGGGTAGTAGTCACCACCTGGGATCACTTCAGTACCTTCAGCTCCTTCTATTCTCACTGCTACTACACAGCAGCGGTATGCAACTGCTTACTGAAGCTCTCAGGGAGGCTCGCTTAAAAGTCCTGTTTGTTTTGGTTTTTTTGGGGGGGTATTTTTTTGCGGTACTGGGGATCAAACTCACGACTTTGCTCTTGCCAGGCAGGCGCTTACCCCACTGAGCTATATCCCCAGCCCAAAAGTCCTAACTGTAAGGGCCAGGTGGATTGCAGAACCCAGCTTTGCCCTAGCTCCGTGCCTCAGGCAAGTCCCTAATCTTTCTAAATGAGGCTAAACCCTAGCACCTACCTCAAAGGTTTACTAAATTAAGTAAGTGCATATACTCTAAAGCACTTAAAAGCATTCTGGCACATAATAAATACTAAATGTTAATAATTAGTGCTACAAATGAATTTACATAAATGTGAAATAAAAGTTCCAAAAATATAAGAGCCCATATTATCTACAGGCTGTATCTACTGCAGAATTAACCATTTGTTGAGAATCTACAATGTGTTAAATATATTCCAAGCGTTTTACATAAATCGTCTCATTTTATTTTAGTTTTTATTTTTATCTTACTGGGGTTTTTTTGTATCGGGAATCGAACTCATGACCTTGCGCTTGCCAGGCAGGCGCTTGTGCCGCTGAGCTACACCCCCAGCCCTATGTTATTGTTGTATGGGAATTAAATACAGGGCTGTAGGCATAGTGTAAGCAAAAACTACCACGGAGCTACACTCTCACCCCACCTCTCTTCTTTAAACATCTTCTTCCAGTCCTGAGAGGTTGGTGGTAACTTTCTATTCTCAGGAGATTAACAGAATCAACACGGAACCCATGTCTGTCTACAAAGTTTACTCTTTAGCTCTGTGCTAAAAATGTGCTCACTCCCCCTGCCAATGAATCAGGCTTCAAAGGCTCAGATACTTGAGACCCACTAGAACTGTTCAAAGTGGTCGCAGTGTACAGCTTCAAGACGGCAACGCTGACCCCCCCGCCCACGGGCTGCCTCCGCCCGCACGGAACAGCACCACCGGGCCTCCACTGCCCGTCCCTGCGCGTCCTCAGCACGACCCTGACCGAGGCTACTTACAATGGCAGCCGCCTGGTTCCTCCTTCCCCTCACTCAAAGCGCCTTTCGGTACCTACTCCCGCAGCCCACCGCCAGCCGGCCCAGGCGACACTCACAAAGGCGGAGTTGACAGCATCCACGAACTCTTCCTCACCCATGCTCACCAGCTGTGCCGCATGGTCGTGGGACGTGGACCAAACCAAGGAACTCAAGGTGTCTGAGAGCTGTGCCAAAAGAAGAACATTAACCCCGAGACTAAAATTCCAATGAACCTGGGGGCGCTCGAGCAAACCGAAGACGAGAGGGGAAACAACGTTAGGCAGGGCACGTCCCTCGAGACCAGAAAAAGGGCTGAGAACGTAAAGTCCTGAGCACACGGCCAGAGGACCGCTTACCGGAAGCAGGGCAATAGGCCCCGAGGGAAGAAACCTCTGCCAGGCTACATTGTTTTCTGTGGCCTGCAATATTGAAGAGAAAGGCTCCTGTGAAGAACTCCTCCGGCCTGGGAGCAGTCTCAAGGGGCAGCTCAGGGTCTCACCTCTGATAAATGCAGCGTAGCCACGACAGCAGACTGGTCATAGTTCCAGCTGACATTCTGGATCCCTGCAGCCTGCCGGACTCCGGAGTTGTGACCATCAGCACCGATCTGCATGGAGACGGGCGCCTGCTAAGTCTCACAAGCTCTGCACACATCAAACTGCTCCAGGGTTCTCTCCTTAACAATCCCTCTAGCTCCAGCTGTTGGCCAGCCAGCGTCCCTAATAGCAGGAAACCTTCCTTCAGGCCTGCCTCACAGCCCTGAGGGGAGCCCGACAATAGGCACCCTCTCTGCACTGACCGAGCCGAAGTGGACACCAGGCCCGAGACTGCCAGCCATGTTCAACCCGAGCGGGAAGCTCTTGAGATTTAAGGTAGGAGGGAAGTTTCAGTAGGTGCAGGCCACGGAGCCAAAGAGGCCTGATGTGAGGCTGGGAACGGCTGCCCCGCGAAAGGGAGGAGAGTGAGCAGGGAAAAAACCAGAGCTTCAAGGAGGTGACTGACAACAGGATTGTGAGAGGGAGACAATAGCCTCAACTGCCGAGGGTCTGGCGCCCGTCCCAGCTACCCTACCTTCCCTTCGTGACCTAAAATGGCCATGAAATTGCTTCCTGCACAGGACTTAAGGCCCCCTCAACTTGGGCCGGCCCAAAGGCAGACTGGGCATTTTATAACCAAAAGCACTGCCTAAAGTCAACACGGCTTAGGCAGACTGGCTTACAGAGGCCCTGGGGTGCAGGACAGGGTGTAGACATGCAAGACACCTGGGAAAATAAGAACTTTCAACTACCAACAGCGTGGTCTGGAGGTTGCTGCCATCACCTAGGGTAATATGGACCCAAGGGCTGGAGTCCGCCACGGAAAAGGGGCCAGGCCAGGAATAGCCAACAGCTTTGCTCCTGTACAGAACCGTCACTCGATCTGGGGAGGCCGAAGGAAAAAGAAAACAAAAATTAAAAAGGCAGCCACAAGGCCGAGGGAAAACCAAAGACGAGAGGGGAAACCGAAGACGAGAGGGGAAACAAAGAGCCAGAACCAAACCCAAGGCGACATGCCAGAACAGCAGTCCTGTCACTCACCGCCAAACAAGAAAAGCCAGGTCTGAGAAGGAATTTAAAATAGAGTGATTCAAGCAATCAGTGATACGTTCCGAGAGCCCATGAACAGCAGAGGCCACGGACAGGCTCAGTTAGGAGCAAAATCGCCCTCAAGTTCTCCAGAGGATTCTCAGCCCGACGCACTCTCTCCTTCCTTCTGCTTCACTCCACACCTCCAGGCGCCCGACACACAGGGCAGACAGCGGGCCTCGCACAGGAGCACCACGTTCCATACAGCCAACGAGTTCTCTTCCCACCGGAAATCATTTTATTGTTCTGATTTAAAAAGTTAATATGCTCCAGCCAGGCATAGTGGCCCAAGCCTGTAATCCCAGCACTTGGGAGGCTGAGGCAGGAGGATCACGGCGAGTTCGAGACCATCCTGGGCTACAAAGTGAGCTCAAGGCCAGCCTGCATTGCAAAGCAACACCCTGTCTCAAAAAAAAAGACAAAAAAATGCTCAGGCCAGGGATACAGCTCAGTGGCACAGCCTCTGCCTGGAAAGTGCAAGGTCATGAGTTCGATTCTCGGTATCAAAAATAATAAAAATAATCATATGCTCCACATGAGTCATGAGGTACTAAGTTATCATCAGGTGGGTGAGGTAAGTTCTGCAGCACCCTGCACAGCAGCAGTGCACTGTGTATTTCCAAAGAGCCTGAAGAGAGGCTTTTAAAACCGTTTTTAGGCGCTCGCTTCAGCAGCACATACACTGAAGTATCTTTGTGTTTGTTTTCCGGTGCTGGGGACGGAACCCGGGCCCTGTGCCTGCCAAGCACGCGCTCCACCACTGAGGGTACCCCGGCCTCGAGAGAGGGTCTGTTTTCACGGCACCGGGATGGAACCCAGGACCTTCACAGGACAGTCAGCCCCAGCCTTTTTTCTGTTTTTTATTTTGAGACACTCTTGCTAAGTTAAGTTCCCCAGGCTGGCCTCCCACCTGGATCCTCCTACCTGAGCCTCCCAAGTGCTGGGATTACACACCTGAGCCACCACGCCCAGCAAGAGATTCTGAATGTTCTCAGAAGAAAAATGATAAATGCTAGAGGAGAAAGGTATGCTTACCCAGATTTGAACATTACATAATGTCTGCATGCATTAAAATATCACAACACCCCTCATTTATAATGTTTATATCTTAATTAGAAGTCATCCTCTCAAAAAACTGTGCTCTCCAAAACATCAAGTTGTATACAGTAACTATAGCCTTTTGTCACTCAATAAGAGGTTTACTTGGGAGGCTGAGGCAGGAGCACAGCCATAAGTTCAAGGCCAGCCTGAAATACATAGTAAAACCTGTCTCAAAAAAGGGGTAGAGGAAGGTAAAATAATAACCTCACTCTTAAAGTCTTCATGCCAGACCGGGTAGCACTGCCTCAACCCAGTACTCGCAAGGCTGAGGCAGGAGGATTGCTGTGAATTCAAGGCCAGCCTGGGCTACATAAATTACATAGTGAGACCCAGTCTCCAAAAAGAAAAAAGAAGAGGTCTTCAGGACAAAGAGCAGTGAAAAGGGGAATAAAATTAAGCTTAGTCATTCCAGTTAAAGTCTTGGGATAGTATTCCAGAGTGTGGCCTAGGCCTACAAATGCCTGCCTACATGCACACACAAACACAAGTGGGGTCACGTGACACAGAATTTCTTTCACCAATGTATTATAAACTTCAAGGTGACTAAATATTAGAGCAAAATTATTTTTAAATTTTTGCATGCTGGGCATGGTGGCATACACCTGTAATCCCACTACTCAGGAGGCTGAGGCAGAAGGATGGCTGTGAGTTCAAGGCCACCCTGGGCTATACAGTGAGCTCAAGGCCAGCCTGGACTACATAGCAAGGCCCTGTCTCAAAAAAAAAAATTTTTTTTTGCAGCACTAGGGATTAAACCGTGGGCCTTGTACATGCTAGGCAAGCATTCTACTGCTGAGCTGTACCTCTGGCCCTAAATTTTTGTTTTCTAGAGTCAGGGTCTCACTCTGTAATTCAGGGTGGACTTGAACTCACTATATAGCCCCAGCTCCCCTCAAACTCGCAGCAATCCTGTCTCAGCCTCTCGAATGCTAGGATTATAGACTCTAAATTATTTTTAAAAGCTAGACAGTGGCAGATTACTGTATACTATAAAATATCAGATTACTGTATACCATATCAAAAAGCATTTAAACTATTTCTAATTTTTTTCTAATACTAATTAAAATTTTTTCTAATTCTAGGGAGAGAATTCTATCTAGGCAGAGAAATCTGATAAAAATTTATTCCCAGAATATGTAAAGAACTCTTATAACTCAAAAATAAAAAAGCCTGGCATGGTGGCTACACAGGTATATACACCTCTAATCCCAGCACTTGGGGATGCTAATGCAGGAGGAGACCAAGTTCAACCCCAGCCAGGGCAAGTTAGTAATTTAACAAGACTCTGTCTCAAAATAAAAAATAAAAGGGCTGGGGATGTAGCTCAGTGTGAAAGCCCTGGGTTCAATCCCTACTACTGTCAAAAAACAAAACAAAATGAAACATTCTCCAATCACAAGAAAAGTAAGTTAAGGAGCTGAATCTTTCTTTAGCTGGGCACGGTGGCTCATGCCTGCAATCCAGGCTACTGGAGAAGCGGAGGCAGGAGGCTGTATTATTTCAGGCCAGCCTGGACAACTTAACGAAATCTTTCTCAAAATAAAACTTTAAAGAGGGTGGGGAGCTGGGAGTGTAGCTTAGAAGCAGAATGCTTGCCTAGCATGTACAAGATCTTGGGCTCAATTCCCAGCAACACATACACACACACACACACACACACACACACACACACACACACACTTAATAGACGGGGGAAAAAAAAAGGAAAATAATTACTGGCAAAAATATAGAGAAACTGAAACTCCTAAATTAGTGGCAAAGTAAAATGGTGCCGCCTCTATAAAACAGCTTGTCAGCCCCTCAGAGTACTACCTCCACAGTTATTTTTTTTTGTTGTTTTTGTTTTTGTTTTCTGGTACCGGGAACCGAACTCACGACCTTGTGCTTGCCAGGCAGGCGCTTTGCCGCTGAGCTAAATCCCCAGCCCCCCTCCACAGTTATTATATGACCAGCAACACTCGTACCAGCATCTACCCAGGACCCAAATGTCTGTCAAAGTTTGGTACACAGTATTCATACAATGGAGCACTGGTCAGCAATAAAGAGGGACGAAGTACTAATACGCGCATGCTACAATGTGGATAAGCCTCAAAAGTATGCTCAGTAAGGGAGTTGGACATAAGTTAACATAAATTATGTAATTCCATTCACATGAATTGTCCAGAATTGGCAAATCAGGAGCGGGGACATAGCTCAGCAGCAGAAGTGCCTGCCTAGCAAGCGCAAGGTCCTGAGTTCGATTCCTGGTACAAAAAAAAAAAAAATCAATACAGAATTGGCAACTCTAGAAAGACAAGCCAGGCCTGGGGGCACATGCCTATAATCCCAACACTCAGGAGGTTGAGGCAGCATTCAGGAGATTGGGGCCTCAAGTTCAAGGCCAACCTGGGCTACTTAGTGAGACCGTGTCTCAAAACCATCTAGAAAGACAGAAAGCAGATTGGCAGTGGGCAGACTCTGAGTGCGACTGCAGAATGACTGTAAATGGGTATAAGGCTTTTTTTTTAGGTGAAGGAAATATTCTAAAATAATCCCGGGTGATGCCTGCACAACTGGAAAAATACACTAAAAGCACTGAGTTATACACTTAGGAGTTTTATGATATGTAAACTGTCCCTAACTAACGCTGTTAGAAAGAGACAGGGATGGTGGCGCTTGCTTACTATAATCCCAGTACTTGGGGAGGCTGAGGCAGGAGGATCCCAAGTTCAAGCTCAGCCTGGGCAACTTAGCAAGACACTGTCTCAAAAAATGGGAGGTGGCAGCTGTGGATGTAGCTACATGTGAAAGCCCTGGGTTCAATCCCCAGAAGAAAGGGAAGGGAGCTGGGCGTGGTGGCGCACAACTGTAATCCCAGTACTTGGGAGGCTGAGGCAGGAGGATGGCTGTGAGTTCAAGACCTGCTGGGATACAAAGTGAGCTCAAGACCAGCCTGAACTGCAAGGTGAGACCCTGTCTCAAAAAGACCAAGAAAAAAACAGAAGGGAAGGGAAAAGGAAAGAGAAGGGAAGGGAAGGGAAGGAGAAGAGGAGGAAGGGAAGGGGAGCGGAGAGAAGAAGACAGCAAGCTATCTAGCTGTTAAAAAGAAAAAGAACCACCCGGAGATAACGGTCAAGGGACTTCCTGATGGCGGACATTCAGTGTCTGCAAAAGCAATCTTCTCTTGCAGGAGTTCACTTCCCAGGAGGTAACCAAAAGAGGGAAGAGTCGGGGACGCACCAGACACAGCCTCCAGCTGCTCAGTGAGCGCGTGCATGATGACGTCGTTCTCCACTATGTAGCCCATGTCATCTAAATTGTCCTTATCGAACATTATCAAGGCCTCTGAGCAGCCGTCCCACACCTGGAAACGTAAGGGAAAGTTGCATTAAAGCCAAGGAAAAGGAAACATGACTCTAATCAGAGAGCAAGTACTGCTTTTCCGCGTGACAGAAGCAGGAGGTCACCGACCGTCACAGGGAAGCGAGAAGGCCCTCAACACCCTCGCGCTTCCCCGGACAGCAAGCGAACCTTATCTCATTCCTCCCACATTCACAGAAAACCTAGAGCCCGGGGCCGCCACATCTTAACCCAGGACAGACCGGGACATCCTGCCGAGTGGACAAGGTGAAAGAGGCACCTGCATCCGCCGAAAGGCTCGGTATCTCAGGCTGCAGATGTGGTCCCAGGCACCAAAACCTACAAGAGAAAGGCTCTGCAGACCGGAGCCAGCTCCCAGGCACCCTGCGCCCGCTCCGCTCTCCGGCCTGTGCTCTGTGCTCTGCGGGGACGGAAGAGCTTCTCTGCTGCCCTCCCGTTCGGGGCTGGAGCTGAGCTGCTCTGCTCGCTGGCCCCCGGTCGTGCAGCACGCGGAAAGGCCCCCCGTCAAGTCACGCCGTAAGGAGAGGAACAAGCACACCAAAGCCACGCCACCCTCCAATTAGGTTTTATCGGCGCATTTCAGATGTACAGAACGACCACACACCACCGAGAGCCCGCGTCTGTGCCAGTGTAACTGCGAGCTTCCTCCCGGCCCCCTCCCCTCCTCCCGGCCCCTCCTCCCGTCCCCGTTTGCAAAAGCTTTGTGTCCACTTCTTCCTTCTCATCTGTTTTACTTTTCCCTGCCCCCCTCCACATTTGGACAGTCTCTTCCCATTTCCCAGTATCTGTCATACCTTTTAGTCCTTATTTACATTTTTGGTTTCTCACGCCAGAGACACAATGCAAGAACCCCCGCCTTTGCAGCTGACCTAGTTAGACTGAACATCAAACACCTCACGCCCAGCAGTACTGAGGGTTGGGAAGAAAACGAAGCAGCACAAGGCGCTAGAAAGTCCTGGAAGAGCAATAGACGGCTGGCTCCACGCAGGACGGGGTAACAGCGGGCAGAGCCCAAAGGCAGTCTGTAAGGAGGTGGCTGGCGGACACATTCACCTGCCGCCCAGGCTGTGACACGCAGGGGCCCTCGGGCACCGGAGGCCCGGCCGTGCGAGCGGGGTGAGCGTTCACACTGAGTGCACGGACTCTGCCGCGATACCGCGCTGTGCACGGAAGACCCACACGTCTCAAACATGCTTCCCCAGAGCCCGGCCACTCGCAGCCCCACTGCACGGGGGCGGCCCTGCAGGGGGCGCCGCGCCGGGGAAGAGGCGGGGCTGCGACACCGCCATCGCCACTCACTGCTGAGCAAGGTCGCGGAGCCCGGGGAGACGGCGCTGACCCTGTTGCTGTAAGTGTCCGGCAACTTCTCCAGCACTTTCTTTGGACCTGCTTCTAGCAACAGGATTTTCTTGTCATGGAAGTGAATATCATGTCCTAAAACAAGAACGGAAAATTTTATGTAGTTTTAGAAAAATTACGAATGTAACTGCACAGTGGGGTAATAATGTACTGGACGTTTCAGAAAGCTAGAAGAAAGAGTTGGAATTTTTCAACATGAAGAAATGATAATTGTTGGAAGAAATAAATGTTCGACCCAGTTTAAATGTGCAGTGTTTACATGTACTATTATGTGGCACATCATTAATATGTACAATTTTTGTTTCAGCTTAACAATAAACTTTAACCAATCTTACAGAATTAGCAGGACTGAGATTTGTAGAAGTGGGATGAACTAGATACAGCATGAGAGATTAAAGAAAAAATCAGCCGGGTATGGTGGCGCACGCCTGTAATCCCTGCACTCGGGAGGCTGAGAGTTCAAGGCCAGCCTGGACTACATAGTGAGACCCTGTCTCACACCCTGCCCCCCCCCAGAAGAAGTGTGATGATTAGTCGAGAGGGAAGAAACACTAGACATCTCACTTAATACTGATGAAAGAAACCCCACAAACCTGTTCCCTGCTTCAAGAAGTGTTTCCGAGTGTAACAAGACGCCATCTCGGACAGGCCAAGTGAAAAGCAAAGGTGGCTAGGTAGTGGCTGGGGTAGTGAGGCCCCTCTCCCCAGAGCAGCCGCCCTTCCCTTCCACAGGGGAGTCTGTGCCTCTATCCTCCCTCCCTTAGTTACAAATCCTCCTCTGCTAAACTGTAAATTCTCTGAGGGCAAGAACCATTTCTTTGCTCACGGCTACTATTTACATCCACAAACGCTGCACACCCATAAAATAGCTACTGGATGTCTGTGACAGTGACACGCAGGGAAACTAACAGAAAAAGGTTTGAACGCATTATAAAATACACCCAAGTTCTTTTTTTTTCTATTTAACATAACATTTCAGTAGTTACTTAAGCTGCCTCTAGTCCAGCTACCCAGGAGGCTGAGGCAGAAGGATCACTTGTACCTCAGAATTGGAGGCCAGCCTGGGCAACAGAGTTCCCATCTCAGGAAGGAAAGAAAGGGAGGGAAGGAGTAAAGAAGGGAGGGGAGGGGAGGGCAGGCCTTGTAAGAATATGTTTCTAAAACACTTGACAAACTACAGGTCCATTCCTGAACTCAAAGTGAGAGAGAAATGAAGATGCTTCAAACTGGAAACCAAGACTATCATGAGCCTAAGGAATCCAGGAGGACTTGCAGGGAAATACGGTATTAAAGGCCTACTGGTAATGTTTTAGTTTTAAAGCAACTGTCTCAAAGCTGTTGAATGGAAATGTAAGCTTAATCAGCATATAAACCACTGACAAAGAGCACCCTTTGGGCTCCGCACCCAGAGGCGCAGACAGCCCCAGCGGCTGCACACAGGGAGAGGACGCGCCTCCCCGCGGTCCCAGTGCTCAGGAAAAAGCAGAGGCTTGTTCCCTGGAGCAGTTTCATGAAAGATTTCCAGATCTTCCGGAGCTTCAGCTTTTTTCTCCTGTCGGAATTCAGACTGAAGGTTTTGCGCAGGCTAAGCAAGCACTCTACCTACTGCACCCCCAGCTCAACCTTTATACATTAACATTCAGTTTTTATCTGCGTGTTTTCTTTTTCAATAGTAATATGTTAGCAGTACATAATGAATACATTCATTGTGGGGTGCGGAGCCTGTACATATCACATCTTAATCCTCTAATTCCCCTTCCCTCTCTCCCTCCCCCTAGATCCTCCTGGCTGCGCAGCAGCTTGTATTAACATGCAAAATCAGAGTCCTTACCTCATGGGATATGCAAAATTTAACTAAATTAGGTAGATCTGACTTCTCTTAAGAGACTAAACTATAAAACTTTTGGAAAAACTCATTGGAGTAAATTTTTGAGTAAATCTTAGTTAAAATACCAAAAACATAAGTGATAGAAACTGGACAGCATCAAAATTTAAAATGGGGTTGCAGAGAGAGGTAGCACGAGTCTGTAATCCCAGAACTCTGTAATTCCAGCACTGAGGAGGCTGAGGCAGGAGGATCACTGTGAGTTTGAGGCCAGCCTGAGCTAGAACGTGAGTTCAAGGCCAGCCTGCACTGCAGAGTCAAACCCTGTCTCCAAAAGACAAAAAAAAAAAAAAAAAATTTAAATCTTGCACTTCAACTGGGCATGGTAGTGCACATCTGTAATCCCAGCACTCTGGGATGCTGAGGGAGGAACGAAAGTTTGTGGCCAATGTGGGCAACTTGGAAACTCAGTAACAGCCTATCTCAAAATCAAAAAGGCTGAGAATGAAGCTCAGTGTGATGGCTTTGGGATCAATCGCCAGGACCAAAAAGAAGGAAAGAAAGGAAAGGAAGGCAGCAGGTAGGAAAGGAGGAAAAACAGTTTGCACTTCTAAGACCACTATAAAAAAAAAAAAAAATATATATATATATATATATATTTGTAAATCATATATCTGATAAGGGACTTGTGCCTAGAATATATAAGAACTCTTACAATTCAATAATAAAAAGACAAATAACCCAAATCAAAACAAAAGATCAGGCTGGGGTGTAATTCTACGGTAGAACGCGAATACACTAGAAACCATTAAAGTGCACCTTCCAACGGGTGGAATTTATGAGTGCGAATTACACCCCGATAAAGATATTTCGGAAAGAAGGCGCTGCCCAGCACGAGCCAACCCTCTCCGCTGCGCAGCTAACCCGGCGCCGGCTTCCCCCACGTCGGTCGGGCGCACTCGCAAGCCCCGCCCACCGCGGGCACGCGGGCTCCGGGGCGCCAATCCCGGGCTCCTCTCGGGCCGGGAACGGACCACTAGCTCCCGGCGCTCAGGCAGCGGACTAGCACGCCACGGCCCTGACTATTCCCATCGCCTCGTTCCCCGCCACTAGCAGCCTGGAGAAGCGCTCACCCAAGGCACAGGCCATGGCAGCGCCCACCATGCCTCCTCCCGACACCACCACATCGTACACCGTGTCTGCCGAGTTGCCGGACCACCTCCGGCAGGAGACCAGAGAGCTTCTGCGGGCAGCTGCGTGCAGAACACCACAGCCCCTCACAGCTAATCGGACCGCCATGATGGTGACCTGCGTCCCCGTACTAGGCGACCCGCAAGACCTGCCTTGGATAGTACTTCCGGAGCAGAGTCTTCCAATCCTGTGCCTCCTCAGCCTCGCCCGCAGAACCGGAAATAAAATGCGCGAAGGGAATAGACCAATCAGAACACGATTCTTGCCTTCTGGGGCGGGATGGATTGGAAGGATGTCCTGAGAGCCAATCGGAGACCAAAGCTAGAAAGGGGCGTGTCTGGCGCTGTCAGGGCAGCCACGGCCGCTGTCACCTTGGCCGCTGCTTCTGCCAGGCTGAGAAGATGACTGTGGGGAGACCTGCGGGCGCCACCGGCAGCGCAGAGTGCAGCCGTCAGGTGAGGAGAGAAAGAAGGGAGACAGCAGGGTTATGCCCCGGAGAGAATCCCCAAGAGAGGAAACTGTTTTGCGTTGCCTTGGAGACAGACGGCAGGGGCGTGCCACGGGGGCGTGAGATTAAAATGGGGCCGCGCTCAGGCGCCGGGAGACGCTCGTGTCTCGGAGACGCGGACTGCTTTACCTTCCCGGAGCCTGTGCGTGGCGCCACCGCGATGCGCGGTTTTTGCCAGTCCTCTCAGGTGCCCTCTCACCGGTGAGGCGGTTGTTCCCATTTGTGAAAGAGAAAACCGAGCCACAGACCTTAAGCAACTTGCCTCAGAATCCGTAGGCAGAAAAGCAGGTTGGTGGGGTTTAGGCTAACGGGGTAGCGGGAGCGGTGTGTGAGGTTAGCGCACACGAGAAATGACTACTGAGGGGTGTGGAGTTTCTTTGGGGGCAATGGAAATGTTCTAAAATTTGTAACAATTGCACAACACTGACTGTACTAAGAAACGTTGAAATATACACTTTAGTGAATTGTATGCTATGCAAGTTACAGCTCAATAAAATTTTAAAATATATGTCAGGCGGTGTGGCTCACACCTATAACTCCAGCACTCAAGAGGCTGAGGCAGGAGGATCACTGTGAGTTTGGGACCAGCCCAGACTACACAGAGTTCAGGGCTAGCCTCAGCTGCATGGCAAGACCCTGTCTCAGGAAAAAAAAAAAAAGGCTGTCCTGACTTTCTTTACATTAGTCCACACTGCTTTCTCCAGGTGTCCTTTTATTGCTTTTTCTCCTTTTACTCAGCCCAGACTAGCTCTACAGAGCCACTTTCTCCCTCTCTCTACACTTTTACTTTCTCAAAGAAACTCTGCCACTGCTAAAAAAAAAAAAAAAAAAAAAAAAAAAA